TGAACTGGTTCTGACAGAGGTTCCATTGATCGCCATTGTTTTGACAAGGGAAAATTTATTGATACACTTATTTTCTGAGGCAGAAAATTTGGGAAGTGGAGAAGGGTTCTTATAGAGTTTGACATGGAGGTGTTAATGGGTCTGTTCCATGGCAATATTATTGGGGGGTTTCGTTACGTACTAATTTTAGCGCACTCATATTTATGGTGGGCCAAACAATACTTTATAATTGTCTCAAAGATGCTGCTTTATGATTAATGGGAAGTTTAGCATATGGTTTTCTGCCACAGGACTTATAGATACGTGGTATATATCTTATTTTTGTGGTTGAGAATCCTCTCAACAAGAAGACCTTTTGTTTTTTGCTTCAATTGTCCTTGTAAGGTTTGAAATTACTTCATTTATTTAAAAAAAAAATAAAAAAAGGTAAAAGCATGTATATATATATATATATATATATAATATTTGAAAAGTTAGACAAATTTTTATTTTTTATTACATTTAATCAAGTTTTTATATTTTTATTTTAAATTAAAATAAATTTTTATAATTAACTATTAATTAATTGTTAATAATCAAAATATAACTTGTTATTTTACATACACGTGATCTTGATATAGCGTTGACATGGGAAGGTAAAAAATATCACATATCATATTTTTATGTTACGTTAATGTCATATGGTATGGAATAATATGTGACAGTTTAATGTTATAAAGACTTATTTAACTCAAAATAAAAATATAAAAATTTAATTAAATATAATAAAAAATCAATTTTTTTTATATTTTTTAAATAATTTAAAAAGTTTTTTAATATACGAACTAATTAATAGTCTAGTCTCAAATCCAATCTAAAAATCTTGGCATAAATCATAACTTTCATTTACATTACAAAGTCAAATTTTATACTAATTAATTTTCCGATGAACATATATTCTTATTTAAAGGATGTTGATATATGAGTATGCGAATTAATCATTAATCCTTAATTTTCCCTTCAATTAGAGCAGTCGGAAACGAGGAAATTAACTCTCGGAAAGCAATGTCGTGATTACCTAACGAAGCCTAAGATGGGATGCACCCCTGAAACTGTACGAGGTTAAGCCAACATGTTCCCGAAATTGGCTTCGGCACATGTGCAATGAATATAAGAGAACTATACATAGCTGCAACTTGCAATGAGTTGTGATTCCATGGAGTAATCCACGAACACCCAAACACACGTTGTCCAGTAGCACGTGATGTGAGCAAAGACAAGTGTTTGATGTCATGATACGAGGTCCTCAATCCAAGGATATCTCTTACACGATTTAATGTCTTAGGTTATTTTTGGAAAGATATCTCAAAGATTGACAAAAATGGTTTTATTTTTTGGAGTATTGTAACTGTATACTGTCGATTTGGGTAAACTTTATTTATATTTTTTGTATTTTTAATTTTTTTATATGATATTTCATAATTTTTTTAATACAGTTGGTTTATTGTCTTTGGTTATGTGAAATTTTTTTTTTCAAATTAACATATCATAGTAACTTTTATTCTTATAACGAGTTAAATTGATAATTTTATCTAATAAAATTATTAAAATATT